CAACAAAACATCATGTCAGAACATCAAACTGCCTATTGTGCCTTAAAAAGTACTATACTGTACTAAGTACAGTGGAACCCCATTAATACGGCCACCAATGGGCCAAAAAACATTGGCCGTATTAACACGGTGGCTGTATTAACAAGGGGTTTTTTTACAAGAAAATGTATGGCGGTTTTTGCCAGGCAGCCAAAAAAGTGGCCGTAATAACACGGTGGCTGTAAGGCAGGGTTCCACTGTAACTTGTAATATCATCCTTGGCTCAGCAACACCATTAAATTCATTTATTTTTGTATTGTTAAGGATAGAGTATACTTCAGACATTTTTCAAAGCAAGCAAAAATTATGGTGACTAAAAATTATCTACAAGTCTTGGTACCTTGTCAAACTCATCAATACAGACAACACCCCTATCAGCAAGCACCATGGCTCCTGCTTCCAGGCGACGCTCACCTGTCAAAGACAGTAATAAGGAAAAATGAGTAAAAAAGTTCAGTAAAAGTTCTAAATTGTGATAAGGGGGGGGGGGGGGACAATTATCCAGACCTTGTGATCAGGGAGGGGACCCAACTACATTCTGCTGTATGTGCTACTGGAGTTGTATTTTTAGGTTCTTATTTTCTTAATGTTTAGATATTCAGGGAATGAAAAAAGCGAGGTGTTCTGGGAGAAATAGACCTTCCTGGCAGGCAAGTAACTTTTTAGGATCCTTTCCCCAAAGGACAAAGACCAGGCAAGTCACCTTTTAACTAAATCATAAAACTACAACACACATTCAATGAACCTGGAAAAGGAAAATGTGAGAATGGCTTGCCTCAAGCCCAAGGACAAACTAGAATTCAAGTTCTCTCCAAGTCCCCCCACGCACGTTGTGTTTGGGATGTATAGAGTTAAAACAAAATTAAAAGTGTATAACTGCAAAAGACAAAAACAAGATGTGATAACCTGTCTCTGGATCTGTGGTCACCGCAGCTGTCAAGCCGACTCCTGATGAGCCACGCCCAGTTGTTGGAATGGCACGAGGAGCAGAGTGTAGGACATACCTAAAATCGAAGGGGTTAGGGTTACTGATTTAAAATAAGATAAAACTTAAAACAAAATATTATTATATTAGCACGTTCCCCACCCATAGTATAGCATTACTTCTCTGCTGCATATATACAAATGATGCACAACCAACAATCCTTGATTTGATCTGAGAAAACCTCAGCTTTTGAATCTGCCCACATGGCAAATTTAATTCATAAAAACTATAAAGTTGATAAAAATAATTTGTGTTCTACTTGCCCACCTGCAATGTAGTACACACTTTCATTTCCATGACCCTAACCCTCTCTTACCTCAGCATCTGAGACTTGGCAGTAGACGGATCACCAATCAAAAGAACATTTATGTCACTGAAAAATAAAGTAACACACAAATAATTTGTAGTTAAAACTATCAACTGCATGTCAAGGCTGTCACTAAGATTTCAAGTTCCCTGGTAAATGCAATAATAAAAAATTGCATTTACAGCAGGAAAGGAATTAAGCCGTGTGGAAGTTCTTTATCCCTTTAAGCCCCAATATACCACATGCAAATTCTCCAAACTGATCTCTATACATTTTCTTAAAAATGAGTGGAGAGAATTTGATATAAGATCAAAGCGTTTTTTCTCAGGTGATCATTTTATTAATTCTCATAACCTAATCTCTGGAAATTGTATGGATATTGTTAGGAGAAAATTGATGTTGGTCAGTATTGGGAAGTAGCTTGAGGGTGTTGCTCATAGTAGCCGGGAAAATCCCTGGTCCCTTGTCCCTGGCCCTTTGTGACAGCCCTGACTTTTTAATTCTTTAGTTCCACATTACCAGTCACAAAAATCTACAGAGGATGAGATCTTAGAGAGCAGAATGAATCATGCCTTCCTAATTCAGTAAATTTAAGTCATTTAAACGCAATCATTTTGTTTTCAGCTTTTAGGTTTACAATGAGAGGTTGGTGGGTACATTGTGATTTCTGAGACTCAGATGTCTTGTTTGAAAGAGACTATCTAGATGTTACTTTTTTTAACCTACCCTCTCAGTCTTGTTCCATTTTCCAAGACTTTCTCTGTTCCACCCAAAAGAAGGCATAGAACTGCTCTTTTAATGTATTCATGACCATGGATTGATGGTGCTAATGACTGGGCAAGGGTTTCAAATACATCCAGCTGGAAATAGAAGGGCAATGTAAGATAAGACAGATCTGCAGAGTGACACTGGAAGGATTCCTGGGAGGTGATGAACTATTAATGAATTTGAAAATGCACATTTATGGGCTGTACGGCTACATTAGTTCTTTTGGTATAGTATTGATAAAACTTGTTGTTTTGTTCCATGCTCTGCAAAGAGTTTTCTGAGAAATCAGAACACTCAGATGCAGCCGTCGCCAAGAAAAACAAAGCCCTTAGCTTGTAAGTTAAAAAAAGAGCAATCTTTATTTGCAACACAAATAAACTTATAATAATAAATTATTCTATTAGGTCTCATTTTGAAAGGTTTATGCATTTCATTGGACATTTTTGCAGTTGAGTGTATATGTTGTGGCTCAGTTTTATAGTTGGTTTAAATTTCAGTTTCCTTTGCTTTTGGGTATGGTAATTTATGATAATGAGTTTGAAACAAACGAACACAAATTTAAATCAAGGATAAAATTGAACCACAACATATCCAGTGATGGTATTATGGTTAGGTGGAAATTTTGAGGAGGAAGGACGAAGGTTAAATTAAAAACAAATACCTTCTTGCGGCGACTAAACTTCTTGACATTGGAGACATCACTAGCAGAGAAATGGGGTGCAATCTCCTTGCTCATAACTTGAATGTGATTAGCAATCAGAACAGTTCTATAGAAATGGAGACATTTATTGCATTGTCTCTTTGATTTAACCTTAAGTAAATATCAGGGTTCTTATTAAGTGCCAGCAGCCAGCTAAAAACCGGCAACTACTTTTTGGGAAAAAAGGGAAAAGTGAGAGAGTGTAAGCCTGAAATTGGGCAATTCCAGAAAATATCCATACCAAACCACGGACGGCTTCCATGTTTTATCCCCCCCTTGCCTTTGGAAATTCCAAAATGTGTTACCCCCCCATGCCTTCAGAATTCCATAATCGTGAACCCCCCCTCCCCTTCAGAATTTCCGTTTTTTTGGAAGTACATTTTCGACTTAGCAACGCCTATATGAACAAACGAACAGGAATTTATGCCTCCTCAAGGCTGTGATCTAGTGGCGCCAGGCGACAAGCTTTACTCTAACCTACCGCTAGTAGCCAGGCTGTGCAAAAAAGGAGTTTAACTCCTTTTTAGGTCCGAATTTGGCTATAAAAATAAACACCAATAACGGCAATTTTACTCCTCTTTGTTTCCTTGTGCTGTTTTGACGTTTACAAAGGAAAATAGCTCAAATTCAGACTGTTAAAATCTTTCGGCGGTCAAATATACGGCGTCGAGTCGTGTTGCGTCCTTTTATGACTCATGTAGTGTGCACGAAAAGTGTTCTAATCTGACAGGCGTTCCTTGGAAGCCAGGGACTGGTGCGAATTTTTTTACTGTTCATCGGACGGGAGTAACAAGAAACTTGCAAGCAGTAAGAGACATATTCAGTTTTTTTTTTCATGTGACAAGAAATTCATCAAGGTTAATGTGAAACCCACGTTTTACTGTTCACTTCTATAAGTTATGAGCGTAAACACGTGTCTGATCTATCGATGCTTGTCTTCTGCTTCCGCGGTCTTACGTTCGTGGTTTATTTACAAACTACAAAAGTCCACAACAATAGCGTTTTCAAGGAACTCACTCTACACTTTCTACTCCAGAAATCCCACCTGTGGAATTCCCCCATGCCTTCGGATTTTCAATCGTAAATACCCCCCATGCCCTCAGAATTCCATAATCGTGAACCCCTCCTCCCCTTCGGAAATCCTAAAAGCCGTCCGTGGTATGGTATGGATATTTTCTGCAATCGCCCATTGCCTACAGCACTCAGTTACCAAGCCGCCTACTTTTACATCATAGCTATCTGACTTTGAAACTTAAGTAGAACCCTGAGTAATGCCAAGAGGTATCTCAATTTTTGCAAGGGAAAAGGAAATTGGTTTAAATTGTCAGCTTTTGGAAGAAAAGTGGGGGTAGAAGATTACATTGAATGAGACCTCTGCAGGGCTTCCACAAGCTTCCTTTGACATTTTAAGTCATTTTATTTAGCTTTATTTCTACCATTATCTTGAAATTTTTGGTACTTGGGCTTGGATTTTTTAGAAGACAAGTCTCAGTCTTGGATTTGATTAAAACGCTCAAGTCTTGGTCTTGAATTTTGAAACCAGGGTTTTGCAGTCTTGCAAAGTCTCAAATTTACAATTCTATACCCCTTGTGATGAATACTGATGGTTCAAGAAATTGGGATTCTATGGTACTAATTTACCTGAAAGTTCCTGGTGTAAAGCCAGATCTCTTGGAAGGAAGGCAGCGATACATTCCAATCACTTGCACTCTGTCACCGGGCTTCATGAAAAATAAAAAAGACACCATATTATTGTTTATCATGTTTAAACCAGAGAGTCTGAAGGATGGTCTTGCTGGTGAATGAATCCTCTTGACATTCCACCTTGGTGATTTCTGTTTTTAAAACAGTTTTAACCTTGAGATCTGACTCTCTTCTTTTGGGGGAGTGATGATGGATATTTCAAAGTAAACCAGTCTATCAGTGTGACGAATTATGTTCTCAGTCCCCAGTAACAGAGCAACACCTGTGGCTGGCTATAGTTTTCTAACACCTTAATAAAGATGATGGATCTTTTTTTAAAAACAAATGGCAGTTCATATTACACACCTTGCATTTATCTACCAGGTCATTATCAGAAATGATGTCTACTGAACGAGGCAGCTGTCCTGCAGGGGCTTTTTCTGGCATTTCCTGCAAGCAAAAAGAAGAGTTGAATGCTACGGCAGAAAATGAACTAGCAAAGAAGCCATTTGGGCAAACCAAAGAGACCAATATTTTACCTGAATTGTAAATGTTTGGTGATCCTTGTAAGTTGACAAACCATATTCAGTTTCCAGTGGATTACCATCTTCATCCTTTAGGGTGGCAACAGTTAAGCATCTGCATCAGTTATGTACATCCAAAAATTTACAAGTAGTAACAAAGAACATCGGTCAGTATTGAAGAGAAATGCACACTTTGAAATACCTTTGTAGGATAAACTGTGCTTGATGGAAAAGCATCAAGGGACGTCAGGTCAGTGTATCTACGGATCAGTGTTTTCTTCGTTTGTGGACAGTAGTGAACACTACGAACAACTTTGGGCCGCACAAGAGAACCTGCAAATCACAGCAAAATATATTAACAAAAAAGAAATTTATTTAAGATCAGAGAGCACATTCCAGGCAGAGAGAATGTTATTAACAAGCTCACTTACATTTAGTTACAATGCCCTCCACACAGACCATGTTTCCAATAAAATGAGCTGAGAGTGTCCTGGGTGTAACATGCTTTGAGCCAAAACTAGAAAGGAATGGAAAGAAAGTCACCGAGTTAAATTTATCTAGTAAAAGAGAATATTATACATTAATTTTTAAATTTATTTTCATTAGAATTCATCGGGTGAAAAAATAAAAATCTGTTATCAGGCCTCAGGTACCTTCCATCAAATCCAACAAAGAACTCTTCATGTTTCTTCCCATATGCTGTATCAGCAGAGCTAACAAACTCTTTTAAAGCATTCTGAGGAAAAGAAAGTTTTTAAATTGAATAAGTAATATTTTTGAATGACTAATTAAAGTAAGAAAGCAATACTTCCAAAAAAAATTTGTGTTAGAATGAGGCACAGTGTAGTCTTAACAAGAATTTGTTTCCATCAAACATCGATCATAGTCCATCTAACAAGTGAATACTATTTTGAGAACTACATTTTCTAAAAGCGATATCTGGGATGACAATAACTTTAAGAAAAAACATACCTGAAATGCAATCAACTCCTCAAAAGAATTGTTTAGCAATCTGAAAAAATAAGAAGGTAGTTTAAATACACTAATTTCTTAAAGACTGCTTAAGTTAAGTGGATTATCGTGGGTCTAACAAAAGGAATCAGTCCCTAACCTGCCACCCCCACCCCCTCCCTGAAATCAAGGATGACACCTTTCAAAGGCTAAAATGTGCCATTTTTCCATTGTTGATTTGGGGGTAGGGAGGTCTAAATCTTCCATCCCTTTTTTCCAAGACTGCAGTCAAGAGGGATCTAAATTTTTCCACCTGTTTTGTCCATGATTGCAATCTTGGACAGGATAAAGTGGAGAAGTAAACACATCATTCCCTTCAAATGAAGGATGAAGCCTTGTGGAAGCTAAATATGCCATTTTCGTATTCTTGGAATGGGGAACTAAATTTGTCCAAGATTGAAGATGGCTTCTCAAGCATCAGACAACCCACTGAAACCAATGCCATATAGCAAGCCGCCAGTTGCAAGTCTGAGAGATATCCCAAGATATACTTACTCTATTGCTCTTTTTTCGTTTTTCCTTCTCAAGTCATTTATATTTACAATTAGCCTGCACTCATTCTTGCCGATCATATCACGAACTTTGCCATGATAAATTCCCTGATCCTCCTGTACAAATATAAAAATATATCAATTTAAATTAAAAAAGACAATTAAATACCTTCATTAAACGAATTCTGCAGCAACTAAAAGAGTTCTTTTTTCAATAACAACCAAAAAAGTCATTCAAAATTATTTTAAAGCAGAGAATTGGCGTCGATCTTTGGAGCATTAATGACAGTGAACAAAACAAACTTTGACCGCACTGATTCCGTTGTTCGAATCTAATACTTCCCAAACGAAAAGTGACGTAGAAGCAGGGGACAATAATATGGCAAAGTAACCATATTAGCGCGGTTTGCAGGAACGAAATATGCTAAAGTACAAATTAATGCAAATTAGTGTACAGTGAAAAATGCAGAATACAATGAACCGAATCCAATTTTCCCGGGAATCTGAACACATGTAAGTGTCCTTGAAATAGCTGTTAACTAATCCTAAGTTTTCAAAACCTAATAACGTATGAAGAACAAGACCACAAGACTGAAAGATATCAACGAGTTTAAAAGCAGCAGCTGAATACTTGAAATGTACTCATCGACAAAAGCTAGAATGTGGAAGTACGAAGTACATGTGCCAACTCAACTCAATGTGCGATTTCATCGAAAGCAATTCAAAAATTCACTTACATCGTCATCCAGAAAGTCAAGATATTCTCTCTGAAGCTGTCGTAAGTATTGTTCGTTGTCTAAAGCCATTTTCAAGACGACAATTTCACCAAAATCGAGGATAAGAAACTTTCCGACTGATAGAAGCTTCGATGCCGCAAAGCTGTTTAACCACGTGATCAGATTTCGCGCCAAAAACTGTCCCACCATATTTGGTGATATCGTCCTAATATGGGATAACAAGAAAAGCATCCAAGATGGCGGGCGAGAGGGTTGTTCGTGATGTTGCTGGCGTGTACTCCCGACTTTTTGACCATCGAGCCGTGTTGCAAAATGAATGTAAATTCGTCATTCGTGAATTTGAAGGAAAGAGAAACGATAGAGAGATGTTAAAATTGGCAGAAGCTGCGGGGAAAGTCAGTGAAATCCAGGGACAAATTCCACGGTGTATCGAGCTGGCTGAACTGTTGAGCGAAGTGCAAGACCAACTGAAAGATGCGAGACAACGGTGTCACTATATTTTGGAACAAGAAGAACAGGATTTAAATAAAACAAGGAGGGAAGAAATTAAAGAGAAGACTAAAAAACAGTGGGATGAGTTCTTAAAAGAAATGGATAAGGAAGAAGAAAAAATCGAGAAAGATTTTATGACCAAGTCTTTGAAATTGAAAGAAAAATATGGAAAGGTGTCTATAAGTGCGACAGAGTAATAGCAGCAAGGAGAAGTAAGGAACGATTGAATGAGGAATAAGAAGATCAGATTATATTTCTAGTCGAAGCGAAGAGATGTATCATTTACTAAAAGAAATGTACTAAATCATTTACTAAGAGAATTTTAACACGGAATCCACCATGAGATTGAGTAATTTCAATTCTCAGTGGACAAAAACCTTGTACCAAAATAATTTAAAGAATATTGCATTCTTTTTATTATTTTTCAGACCTGAAGAGTACCCTGCGAGTAGAGTTTACGTTTTTGCTTTGTGAGCTGTTGTGCAAAAAGCCCGGGGGTACTCCCATACATAACCTATATGGGTATGTGCCGCCCAACGGGGTCGTGATTTTGAAGCTCCTGATTTAGAACGGGGTATCCATTTCAGAGGCGTTTTCTAGAACGGGGTATAAAAAATTGTGGATCATGGCTTTATCTTCTGCTTAAAATTGTTGCTGATTATGAAGAAGCATTTATTTGATGTATAAATCAAACAAATAAAGAAATATCTTTTTAAAAAACAGGGCTATTTCAATTTACAAACTTTCTAGAACGGAGTATAAAAGATTGGCCCATTTCTAGAACGGGGTATCAATTTTAGGGGAAATTTTTCTTAGAACGGGGTGCCAATTTGGAGACCCGGACGGCACATACCCACCCACAGAATACCCAAGTGCCCCCCGGGGCGAAAAGTAGCCACTGCCGGCAACCATTTAAATCCATCCGGCAATGGTATCAGTGCGTTGCTAGAGTCTTGTGTAGCAGATCAGAGTTGTCACAATATTTTATTCCCACAAAACTCACACCATTTGACAACAGACCTGACAATTAAATTTGCTTGCAAATGGCGTGACGAATTTCACACATCTACAATAGAAAATTGAACGGTTGTCGGCAGAGGCTACTTTTCGCACACCAGCTCACACAGCAAAAATGTAGCCTCTGCTCACAGGGTACATAAAGAGGTACTTAGTCATGAATCTGTAATAACACCAAAGACTATTTCTCATGGGAGCCTGAGAAAAGGAATGTCACATTTCACAAGAATTGTGAAAACAAAGGTAAAATTCTGAAAATTTCATGAGTAAGATGTAATTTTGTGAAATTTGACTTTCTTTTTTTTGGGCTCCCTTAGGAGATTTTCTTTGGTGTTATTACAGATGACTAATCACATTTTTTACCCCTCAAAAATGTGAAAAAGAATGCAATATGCTTTCAGTTATTCTGGTAAAAGATGATTGTCCACTGAAAATTAAAATTACTCAATTTCCTGGTGGATTCCATCTTAATGGCTAGAATCTTTGAATCATTTTGCCATTAACATTTTGTCAACAACAGAGACTATCCTGAAACAAACAATGAACAAAGCCTAATGTGAAATTGTTAATGTTGAATGGACTACATGTATTTCAGCATTCAACATGGCGTGATACTCAGTTCAAGTTTTGTTGCACAAGAACAGCAACATCAAAAATGGTAAAGACATAATAAAAAATGGGGGGTACTGTAGCCAAGTTTTCTTAGGGGGATCTTGTGTGCTTTTCTTACCAAAAGTATTCAATGAGACTAGGAATTACCTCAAATTGAACACAACTTTTTGGGTTGTTTCAGTAAAAGAAAAACCTTGGAGGCAACAAGATGTCGTCTGTCCCAGAATGTTCCACAAGGAAATTTGTGTTCCATTTCTTCAAACCCATCCTTGATTCCTATTTCGGGCTTTTGTGTTCATTTTTCAGTAACTGGGATTCTGACTGAAATTATACACCATGAAATGAACAGTTTGCCCATGTTAATGGTAAACTACCACAAGCTTCCATATTTCCTCAACACATGTCCATGATGTAAAGATAATTTTTTTTACCAAATGAACCACAACAGGTACGTAATCTCAGGTCACTTCCTCAAAAATTAATTTTACTCACGATTTGAGCATTCCTCATAATACACCTTGTTCCTCCCCACCCCCCTCAAAAATATTGCATAAGCATTGTGTTCAATTTCTCTTGGGACTATTGTTATAACCAGGAAAAATTCAAAACAAAGGTTATGCAAAGTGATGGTTGGGGGGGGCAAACAAGGTATCTCATGGGAAATGCATTAGTGGCAATTGATGAAATTTGAATGTTGTTTAAATGAATTGATTAATTTGTGGAGACTAATATTGACTACAGTGAAACCTGTACTTAGAACTCAGTGAAGAAAACTTTGGGAATACTGTGGCTTGTGTCTGTTTAACAAGCTGGAATTCAATTTTTTAGCACTGCACAAGTACCAACTTTGATATATGGTGTTGCTCAAAAATTTTTGCAGGAATTTATTATTGCAGTTGGGCGATTTTTAGCATATTACGTGAACTAATTTTTGTTAATAGGACAGATTGCTTTTTCTTCCTGGGAACTAATTTTTGCAATTCTTATTAAGTCCTGGACCCAGCATTGATAATATTTTCATTTTTTATTGAGTATGTGCAATGGAAATACGTATTTTCAAACAATACTGCAGTGTGCGTACCCTATGTAAAACCAGTTTTTCATTACATACATACATACATACATACATAACTTCACAGAAGTTCAGGTTTCATGAGTAACAAGAATCGCCGAAAGGCGATTTTCAACTGGGCTGCAAAGGGGCTATGTTTTCTGAAGGGGGCGGGGCTATACACACTCAGGCTACCATAAAACTTTGTCGGCAACCATTGCATGCGACAGAATCTCATGTGAGACTGAAACATTAACTCATCCCCTGTTCAGAACATTGTACCCTTTTGAAAGACTTTCGTAACCAAAAAAAGGAGTACCATCTTTAAGTGGGGGCTGTATAATGACTTTTCAATTCCACCATTATGAATAAAAATAAACAAGTTAGCCATTAATTCTAAGCAGGAAACAATTTGCATTATTTCCACGCACCCCTTCCCCCAATCCCTCTGTGCCCCAAAATATAGCGTGACAGTATAACGTGACTAATTTGACGTAACCGGAAATTCCAAAAATTGTTGTCGTTCTACGAGCATAAAATGCGACAGACTGAGCTGATTTACACTAGACAGAAATATCGTATTGTCTGAAAACCAGAGATTTACCAAAACAGACAGTTAACTGCCCATTGATCCCGCCTGATCCAGGGGCCTCACTGACTGCATGGAGACTTTACCGCGCTTTTCACAAACGTGGGAACTCTAAAGTTCAAAAGCCACCTTCACAATTGTGTTTATTGCTGCTGTCAATCATTATTACGATCACAAGCAACGAACCTTGAAACAGAGAAACACACAAAACGGATCGAAATCCACAAATCACAAACCATGACCTTTTGAACCCGTGAAGTAAAGTTTTGTTTCCTAAGAGGTCTGTTAAGATGATTGACAACAGCGAAGAACGCAATCGTCGGTTGGCTTCTGAACTGCAGAATTCGCATGTTTGTGAAAAGTGCGATCCTAATTTGCGGTCCACAGTCTACAAGAAAACGCACTATTTTTTCCACAAGATGAAAAATATTCAGTTTTAAGATTTTCCTCATGGTATTTTTCTCTAACTTAAAGGAGTAAAATCCTTTGCATTTTGAGACCTAAAAAAGTTTAAAGATTTCTCGCTCGCATGTTGCGTTCACCAGCACGCACTTCAAACAATGTAAATAGATAAAACGATCGATAACATACTTTTTACCAGTTCTGTTTGTCTCACCCAAGACTAACTTTTCTTCATGGAAGATAACTATGCTGCTTCATAACTCGTCCGTTTTTTTTGTGCCAGCTGAACAATATGGAAACACTATTCACAGTGACTCCTTGGATATTAAAAAGACTGAACGTGACGCACTATTATGCCTTTGTTTACTTCTGATCACATCTTCAAGCGAAGTCTCTCTTTTCGAGCGATTCATCTCAATGCACAATAATTGACCCTTATATTAGTTAAAATCCTATGGTTCATTTATATTAATGCTGTTTTTGCCCCTCACATTGACTGTGTTCGTTCGTATTCAAAACACCTTTACGAAAATAAAGGTTGTATAAGTCACGTGTGTTATGTTTCAAGATAAATGGATTATACGCTTTTTTAAGTTTCCATTTCGCGATGACTTCAGTTTACATCTCCATAAAATGGTAAAAGAAATATCAAGAAACATCACGAGAGCTGAAAACTTTCAAAGGCATGTTTCTGAAACTCGCTAATGCTGACATCGTGCTTGCTGAATGGGCGAAAACACGGAATTGTGATCACTAGATGATGTATAAATTTAATGATAAAAGCTTAGCAAGATACAGATACAAACAAAAGCAAACCCCCTGAAACCTCGACGTGGGTTACACTTGTATGCTCTACTCAGTCACCAAACCTTGTCAGCAATAGCTCCTATTTTCCTCAAGTCGCTCTCTGTGAAGCTCCCGGATGGGATGTCTCGGTGAAGCTTTAAAATTGTGTGCGAAATTCTCAGAGTCCCTATTTTTGTCCGTGTCTTCTTTATCCTCAGTATCCGAAATTTAGACCTCCAAAGTGGCGTGTGTTGCATTAAATGGAAGGAAATGTTTAAAGGAAAAGCCCGTCTTCTAACATGGCAAAGTTGTCACGTCCCTCGCAAATGGACGTGCGTAACATCAGGATTCATCTGCCATTCATCGGCAACTGAGTTGTTCGCTTCACTGACTACGAAGGCTTACAATCAAGTCTTCAGCCATAGTGTCGTCAACTGGTGAAATACTTTGCTCATAAATTGTGCTTCTTAATTGCTCATGTACTACATCGATCGATAATTCTCTCTTTGAGTTCACGAAGCGGCCACGGCGTTCCAAACCTGACGCTCACAGTCATCTTTTAGTGTGAACCTACTGTGAACGGCGTGTCGGTTTGAATGCAACGCGAGCATTTCTCTGAGTTTCCCAGCGCCAACATCATCTAACTGACTTAAACTCGAACAATAACAAAATTATAGAGTGACTCCCATGATCGAATCGCTTCGAACAACGCAAATAGCCTTCTTCAGGTTCGCAACGCCTTGTGGGTTTTTCAGGGGGAGCGGAGACGAGGTACGAAAAGTATCCGTGTGAGGCTCCGTGCAAGAGAAACTCATATGAAACCATTTGTGAGAACATCGTTTCTCCATATCAGACCCTCGTGTCTTCCCTCCCCCGGGAGGCCGTTTTTCGCCGCAGACGACCGAAAGCCCATTTTATGACTGGGCGCACAGGCAGCCCAGTAATCATCGTTTTATTGCTACAGAAATGTTTCGTATGGTGCAAGGACCACACTCATCAGGCAATTTTGACAATTGAACTGTTGGAATTGGAAGGCTGGCAGCTAAATGCAAAAATTTAAATGGTTGCTATGGTAGATGCGTTACATTCAGGTTATATAAAACTGTTGAAAGGGTTGCTAGGTAACAAAAACATTATATAAGAGGGATTATCTGTCGTTATAAAAAATGTTATATAAGCAGGTTTTAAGCTACGTTACTCTAAAGTTTCCAAGTACATATCGGTTTCTGTGGGGGCATGAACTTGCTAATTCATTTCTTCTGTTGAGGCTACACAGTTCTTTTTTACAGATGATTATGAACTTTTCATTCAGGCAAAGACTACATTTTTTGCTGATGTTGCTGTAGGGTTTATATTTCTTAATAATTTTCCATTTAATCTGAAACGGTTTCCTTTCGTTTTGTAAGTTCCAAACATATTTGGAGAGTTCTGTTTCATTTCTTCTTTTCGAGTGTCGAAAGTACATACATGCATACATACTTTATTGTTACCTCCCTAGAAGGGCTTTTCAGGAACAAGGACTATATTACATTATTTATAATAACTAATTACAACATTTAATGTAATACTAATTACAATGTTAGCTAAGTACTAATTACAATATTTTAAACTTAACTAAGAATTATTTACAAAATTATCTAAAAGCTGGCTCCTTAAGGAACATTTAAAAATTTCAACAGATGGGCTTAACTTAAGAAAAGATTCCGAATTGTTCCAAAGTTTAACAGTCCTGTAATAAAGGGCTCTCTGTCCGGAGGCAGTTCTGAAAAGAGGGATGTTTAGTTTTTGGCTACTCTGAGTTGTTCGTTCGCTAACTTGCTCACGGGTAATAAATTGGGATGTAAGATATTCAGGGGCTTGACCAGTCATGCATTTGAAGGCCATAATAACTTGGCGATAGTACAGTTGGTCCTTAACAGGCAACCAAGACAGGCTTTTTGAAAGGGGTGTTACATGATCATATTTTTCATTGTATACCGTTTTGTTTCTGAATGAAAGAGACAAGTTGTAATTGAACAGATACCATTTCTTACTGTATTTTTGTGAAACAAATTTAAGTTACAGAATATTTACCCTGGAGACAATTTTTGTGTGGAAAACTGTTTGCAGTTATTTTCATTTGCAGGAATTTGTATTTGCAGATCACCGGGAAAAAATGCAAAAATTAGAACCTGCAAAAAATTTTATGCCACATGGTAGGTTTCAAAACATGATAACACCTGGGGCTACAAATGCAAGTTTTGATAGAGTTCTCTCATTTAATAAAAGAAAGAAATACTTTTTAAAAATGCTAACTAAAAATATGCATATTTACAGTAGAAATAATCACATAAAACTACCTAGGAAGTACAAAGTTAATACCAGGAGCCTGCTCCTGTAATTACATAAGCTAACATGTTAAAAGGTATTTACAACATTCATAACCTAAAAATTTAATCCTAAGCGTCTAAGTCTTTCTTTGCTCTTTTTGCTTCCAACAACGTCCCTGTTGGTTTTCTTATATTTGAGATGCCGATCAGTTCTAGTAGGCGGAGTCATAACTCGTCCTTTACATTGATCTCTACTGGTGTGTAGTTCAGTCTCCCTAAGGCAAACTGAACAAAACATATTGCCACACTTTTGACACTGACATTGGTCCTTTGCTATTTTTGAGAAGTTTGAAGGCGATGTGCATTTGGGGCATGATCTAAGCTTATCTGAAGCTTCTCTGGAGATTGGATAGGAGTAGTAAGTCTGGAACCCTGTACTCGTCAAAGCTGTTTCATTGCTTGTGTCTTCTCTCCTCTCATGTAGGTTATTGCGATTAATGCTAGCAAGTGGCACTCTAATCAGATTATCAGGATATGCTGATTTGAAAGTGGATAGTGTACCATGATTCTCCTATGGAATGTAAGACAACACTTAGGGTCTTTTATGAGGTGAGCCAGCGTGGTTAGAGGGGCTGGCCCGAATTATGTCTTGTTACCTTGTAAAATTTTTGTTTTGTTTTTATGAGAACGTTTTTATTGAGGTAGTTTATAGTCTGGAACTCTGTACTCCTCAAAGCTGTTTCATTGCCTGTGTCTTCTCTCCTCCCATGTAGTTGATTGTGATTAATGCTAGAAAGTGGCAATCTTATCAGATCATTAGGATATGCTGATCTGAACTTGGATGGTGTACCATGATTTTCCTATGGAACGTAAAACATCACTTAGGGTCTTTTATGAGGTGAGCTAGCCTGGTTAATCAGAGGGGCTGACCTGAATCATGCCTTGTTACCTCTCAAAATTTTTGTTGTGTTTATATGAGAAGGTGAGCTGGCAAGGCTTGCTCAAGACAAGATTTTGGCATGCCAACCAACCATCTTCTCATATAAACACAACAAAAACTTAAAGAGGAAACAAGGCATGAACCGAGCCAGCCCGGCTAACCGTGTTGGCACATAACAAGTTCAAGTTTATATTAAGTGAACACATTTCATTACAAATTTTTCCTGGGTACACTAAGGGGTTATTCAAAACAATTGATAGTAATCCAATAGGCAAGAAGATCTTGAACAAAGCAAGCAACACATAAGCTTATATCATTTTTATAAATAAGAATTGACCCCCTAATTACCTTTCGGTTTCCCTTTCGGGTAAAGTGTCGTTTTCTTTCATCTAAGAATTCTCTCCACCTTCGTCTAATCTGCGAGTCTTGCTTTACAATATTTCTCCATTCTGAACACACAGAAGCAACTCTAAACAAAATATTTTAGAAAAAGAGTCTGAAGTTTTTATAGTCACAAGATTTCACAACAAAGGACTTTGATGCAAAGCGGAGTGGGGGAATTAGCTTAAATATTCGATCAGTAAGCTTATATTAAAAGTCTTGAAATCTTCTAGAATTCCGATAAGCTCGCAGGAAACGACTTCAGCCATTCAAAACTGTAGTTGACTTGTAGCTGCTTATGGGCTTGGAAACAACGCGGGTGAGCTTGATTGAAAGGTTCACTCGCAGAGACAACCACTGAAATCCGAGGAGCATGGAAACTCGGTAAAAGGAAACTTAGAGACTCATCCCGAACGTTGCCGGCATTTCGAGATCGGATGAAAAGAATTTTTATTAAATTATGCATTCAAGTTTGATCGTTGAAACAGCAAACAACAGAGAAGTCTGTGTATGCGCCGGTATACAGAACTTAATCAACGTACCTGCACAGATCTTGAGGATCCAAATAAGAGCAGATTTCTTGACAAATCGTTTGGCAATTAATGGAGATAAGAGACGAGAAAATGTCGATTTTTCTGTGATTTTCACCAGTTTGCTCCATTGCTTAGACTATGTCGTCGTAGATTTGATAAGATTTCATCCAGTTCTATTTTTTTCGTTTGATTTTAAGCGCCAAAAAAGCGCTAACGGTTATCTGAAGGCGTCAGCCAATCATCTCTCGAGGTTCCACCGAGCACCAATGAGAGACGAGCGGATTTCTTTGAACAACAAGGGCGCGATCCATTCAACAAAAATTTCCGGAAATTTCGGTCCAAAACTCAATGGATCGGTTCGGTCCAACTGGAAAAGTTTCGAAAAAACGGGTCCACCTTCTGAGGTGGACCAATTTTCCCGGTCGGACCGGTTGGAATTTTGGTTGAATGGATCGCGCCCCAAGAATCGCCGAAAGGCGATTTTTAACTGGGCTGCCAAGGGGCTATTTTTTCTGAGGGGAGGGGGCGGCTATACACACTCAGGCTACCGTAAAACCTTGTCGGCAACCATTGCATGCGACGGAACCTTATGTGAGACTGAAACATAAACTCATTCAAAACATTGTACCCTTTTGAAAGACTTTCGTAACCCCAAAAAAAGAGTACCATTTTTAAGTGGGGGCTGTATAATAACTTTTAAATTCCACCACTATGAATAAAAATAGACAAGTTAGCCATTAAGCAGGAAACAATTTGCATTATTTCCACGTACCCCTCCCCTAATCCCTCTGTGCCCCAAAATATAGCGTGACAGTATAACGTGACGTAACTGGAAATTCCAAAAATTGTTGTCGTTCTACGAGTATAATGAGCTGATTGACACTAGACAGAAATATTGTATTATATGAAAACCAGAAGTATACTAAAACAGACAGTTAACTGCCCATTGATCCCGCCTGATCCAGGGGCCTCACTGACTGCACGGAGACTTTACTGCGCTTTTCACAAACATGCGAACTCTAAAGTTCAAAAGCCACCTTCAAAATTGTGTTTATCGCTGCCGTCAATCATAATTACGATCAAAAGCAACGAACCTTGAAACAGAGAAAAACAAGACGGATCGAAATCCACAAATCACAAACCATGACCTTTTGAACCCGTGAAGTAGAGTTTTGTTTCCCAGGCGGTGTGCGTCACGACCCACAAAGGTTCATGGGTAAAACTGTTGCTGTGCCTCATTTCAATCGTGACACGGTCGAGTGCGCATCTCGTAAGAGAAATGAATCAAACCCAGGGATCAAAACACAGCTGCCTTTTCCGAAAATCATTACGGAAGAGAGCGATTTCGAGAATTTTCAAGATCTCATAGTGGCCTTAGATGCTTACTATTGGCTTCATAAGGCAATTTCAAGAAGTTAATCGCGGTTCGGAGACGATCGTGCGATCTAGCCGACTTTGAGCGGCGACTAATTTCCTGCTTCTCATAAGATTTTATGTACTGTTTGGTTTATATGTATGTTTTATCTCATAGTGAAAGAGATCTGTAGTTCATACCTGGATTTGCTTAACTAAAAAAAATTCGTCCATTAGAAGTGTTTATATATTTGATGGACTTTGTTACCGGCAAAGCAGGAGAAGTGTGTGCAAACAGCTAGGTGAGAAATCGTCTCTCATAACAAATTTATTTTCATTGACAAGTTTATATTTTGAAAACAGTGCCCATTTGAAATCCTTATGCGCAAATAAATCTTCTATCAGGCAAGGAGAAAACAGACCGAAAGAGCCGAACATACAGCCGCAGAAATAAACAGTAAAATAAACCACGATCTTGTCCTTGCGGTCATTGAAGTGAGCGCAGAATATCGATTTTGTTATAAAGTAAAACCTAACCTCACAGTTTTAAAATCCTGTATGATGTTGTCTGGATCTTCGATAATGGTTTTGTGTTTTGGTAGAGATTTATAACAATTTATTCCCTCACATAACTTTACACGAAGATTTGCATACACGTAGCACACACCGCATGCAAATTATTTTAAAGTCACGCTTTCAGTTTCCGCACTGGGTTATGAAAAAGGTTTTGTTTCCAAAGGTTATTACAATATTCAAACTTATTTACCTTTTGTGGTTTAAAATAGAACCAACTCTTCCTGGATTTGGCGTTACTCGCTTCACGTCGGCTTCTGCTTCGGCATGTTTTCTCAGCCCCGTTTCCCGGGAGTTGTGCCACTTGGCTGAGACGATGTCTTAATTCCAAGACACTTTCAACGGCTCATAACGGGAAAACTAACAGGGGTAGACCCGGGTAGACCCCGAAATTTGCAAAGAAGAAAGGTTGAAGTAACAAGATGACCAAAATAATTCGATAAAACCGCTAACAGTAACCAGCAATAAATCCAAGAAGAACGGCAAAAACAACACTCAAATCATCATGGCGGCCTGCACATGACCGAGCAATTCAAACTTGTCACAAACGCTCAAGAAAGCAAAATATTTAAAAGTAACGCAACTGCTATCAAGATAAAGTGTTCCAACAACTTTCCACGGCGGTATAGTGTCGAAATTACCAACACAAGCTTGGAATAAAGCGAAAATTTCACCACATATACACCTATTTGCAATAAGGTTGTCATAGAAAAAGCAAAAAGCAAAAGGCAAAAAGCCAAATAGGAATTAATTAGCATTTAGTTATCATTGCTTGCAACATTCCCAACACACACGCTTATAGCTGAATATTAATCACGTAACATGAGAGAAATCATTTGCATCAGTTTCTTGGTGTCATTCTAATGCAATTCGAGGCTGATTCATCTGGCGGATTTCAAACGTGCTCTAATTACAAACGTACATCGGATAACTACTAAAGAAAAAATGGCTCCATTTTTTTTTTCAATAAATATAGCCTAGGGTAAATTCCAGGAACGCGACGCCTCTTTTCGTTTAATGCTAAATAGAAAAGCCAGTCTGCGTATGGTTTGTAGTGCACCACACCATCAGATCACAATTTTCAAGCAACAAATCAGGGGCGTACGCAGGACTTTCCATCGCGGAGAGGGTGAGGCGTTCCTCAGCCAGTCCCTCTCCCGCGCCACAAACTAAGCTTCGTTTGTCAGGACCCTTTTGTTAAACACATCAGTGTTTCATCTGCGGAATCTTACAGCGCGGAATTACAGAATTATTTCGTTATTGTGACTGACTTCTTAAATAATTGTTATATTATTAAAATACGCAAATGTAAATCACATGGCTAATTAATTCCTATTTGGCTTTTTGCTTTTTGCTTTTTGCTTTTTTCTATGACAACGTTATTGCAATTAGGTGTACCTCTGAAAATAGCTCTTTCCGAGCCCGAAAATCACTCTACAAATGACGTATTCTGATTGGTCGAATCTCGTGACGCACACCGCCTGTCTGTTTCCTAAGAGGTCCGTTAAGATGATTGACAGCAGCGAAAAACGCAATCGTCGCTTGGCTTCTGAGCTTCGGAATTCGCATGTTTGTGAAAAGTGCGATCCTAATTTGCGGTCCACAGTCTACAAGAAAACGCACTATTTTTTCCACAAGAAGAAAAATATTCAGTTTTAAGATTTTCCTCATGGTATTTTTCTCTAACTTAAAGGAATAAAATCCTTCGCATTTCGAGACCTAAAAAAGTTTAAAGACTTCTCGCTCGCATGTTGCGTTCACCAGCACGCACTTCAAACAATGATGAAACGACCGATAACATATTTTTTACCTGATACCGATGCGAGTTAAAAATTCGCTCCAGCTTGGTTTGTCTCACCCAAGACGAACTTTTCTTCATGGAAGATAACTATGCCGCTTTATAACTCGTCCGAAGTTTTTGTGCCAGCTAAACAATGTGGAAACACTATTCACAGTGACTCCTTGGATATTAAAAAGACTGAACGTGACGCACTATTATGCCTTAGTTTACTTCTGATCACATCATCAAGCGAAGTCTCTCTTTTCAAGCGATTCATCTCAATGCACAATAATTGACCCTTATATTAGTTAAAACCCTATGGTTCATCTATAATAATGCTGTTTTTGCCCCTCACATTGACTGTGTTCGTTCGTATTCAAAACACCTTTACGAAAATAAAGGTCGTATAAGTCATGTGTGTTATGTTTCGAGATAAATGGATTATACGCTTTTTTAAGTTTCCATTTTGCGGTGACTTCGGTTAACATCCTCATAAAATGGTAAAAGAAATATCAAGAAACATCACGAGAGCTAAAAAACTTTCAAAGGCATGTTTCTGAAACTCGCTAATGCTGACATCAATATAGCGTGCTTGTTGAATGGGCGAAAACACAGAATTGTGTTCACAAGATCATGTACAAATTTACTGATAAAAGCTTAGCAAGATACAAATACAAACAAAAACAAACCCCCTGAAACCTCGACGTGGGCTACACTTGTATGCTCTACTCAGTCACCAAACCTTGTCAGTAATAAGCTCTTCAGTATTTTCCTCAAGTCGCTCTCTGTAAAGCTCCCAGATGGGATGTTCCGGTGAAGCTTTAAACTTGTGCATTGTGCGCGAA